TCTCTCTCTCTCTCTCTCTCCCGCTTTTTCTCCCTCATAACGCTGCATAATGGGCCCGATGTCAATGTATCACTAGCGATTTCGCGCACAGAAATACTGTTGAAAACACTCGTCGGCGGTCGAGAGACGGCGATAACGCTGGTCGAGCCGAACGAAATTGGTATTAATGCGCGTAGTGTTCCCCTTTCCGCCTAAACATATTGCTCTTCTCCGTGTGAGCGCGCGAAATTGGATGGGTTTACATTAATAGAGAACGCGAAATCGCCAATAATCTCTTTTTTCACACGCAAGCATCGGCCGCCGGAAGCTTCGATAGGATTAACTCGCCCGCGCGCGCCTATCGGCGAGCGTTTGCAGTTCAATATGGCTCTCTCGTGCCCTTTAGACGCGAGAGCTATGTAATTTGCGCGTTCCCCCTCGGCCTCCCTCAGGCCGTGTAATAATAACCAGAGACGTGTAATAATAACCACAGAGAACGCCGTTGATACCATTTGTTGCATCTCTCACGCGAGAGCGATCAGTCCCTTTTCCTCGCACACTGTCGGGAAAAGGCGAGGGAAAACGCACGCCTGCCTGCCATACTTTTCGCACGGGGCGAGATGATTTCGCGTCGTCGCCGCCGCGCCGCTTTCGCGAGTTTTCCCGGCGGGTTTCTCCGGCACACACTCGGTGAAAAAGTATTTATTGTCTCGGCGAACGCGTCTAGCCGCGCCAACGTAAATCCCTAAATTTTTTAACCGTTCGGGGCATACCACTGCGGTTGACGTTCATCGGGGAAAAGGAATATGGAAAGCGCGCGTACAGCACGCGAAAGAAAAATAAATATACCGCGTGGGATGTATTGATTTTACAGGATGAGCTCGCTCTGCACCTCTCTCTCTCTCTCTATCTACGAGATATCAGATTTTTATTAGCCGAGGGGCATCGCGAGATCGCTCGACACGGCCAGTGTGATATCGTCGTTGATCATCGCGCCGTTGATTACTCGCTTCCGAAAAGACAACCGCGCTAAATCTTGCCGGAAATTTCGCTGGCAAATTTTTAACGAGCGAGCTTATCGATTCCCGCCGGCCCGCTTGGCCGCTTCTCGCGCGCGCGACCGGTACGGGTTCACGCCGTTCAGCAAGCTAAATCGACGCGAGGAACGCGGCGATGCGGGTTCGGGACCGAGGTCGGTCTCTCGTTACAAATCCCGGCAAGTTGAATCCCGCTTTCCTGCGGACAGTCGCGCATCCGAAAGCTCGAGAGGAAGCTCGAGCTCAGTTGGCAACTCGGGAAGCGAATAAAAGAGAGAGAGAGAGAGAGAGAGAGAGAGAGAGAGAGAGAGAGAGAGCGAGAGAGAGAGGGAGAGGGAGAGAGAGAAAGGAAGGAGGAGAGAAGACTCCGTTGAGCTTTCCATCAGGAAGGAAAGCTCCCCTTGTCTTTTCCATGGTTACTTGACGCAGCCTGAAAGAATGATAACACGTCACGAGCAACGCGCGCAGCCGAGCTCTGCGAGCGAGATATACAACCCTCAAAAGATTAAATGCAGCGCCAAGTGCACGGAGAGTTTCCTTCCTGTGTATAACGCGGTTTTCAGAAACTCGGTCAGCATTCTTTCTCTCTCTCTCTCTCTCTCTCTCTCTCTCTCTCTCTCTCTCTCTCTCTCTCTCTCCCTCCCTCGCTCATGCACATATATGCACACATACGCACACAGACTCTTGTCATTTGAAAACGGGAGTCTCGAGACACCGGAGAGAAACACGGAAACGTACTCTCTCGATAGGAGTTATTTCGAATCATCGACGCAATGAGAAAGACGCTGATTTTTCCTAATGGAACATTTCCAGCGAAGGAAGACAACCCCGAGTCCCGAGATCCTCGAATCATTCGTACGCACGCGGTGCGTAAAGGCACACGAGCCGACAGGATTCTGTGCCGAACTTCGTGGTGAATTATATATAGATCGTTCGGAACGAGCTCGGGGCAACGACTCGCGAGATAAGAGCGGATAAGCCATGACGACAATTCCCAGATGCCTCCGGGTGTCGCTACGACTCTGCCGGATGATTTTTCGGCCAATTAGGTAGATAACTATTTGTCGAAGCCCGGATAATCCGAGCTCTCGTGTGAGCTGCGCGAGTCCCGACGATAACGAGGTAACCGTCGCGAGCAGAAAAATCCTGACTGATTTCTCGCACGTCTCGTACGAAGAGGAGGATTCCTTTTGTGTTGCGCTCCTTGGGAACGCCGGTTAATCCGCTTTGTTAACAGCAATAGAAACGCAAACGTGATTTCTGTTTGTTGCCGCGGAAACTGCGCGGTGGACTGCGCCGAGACGAGGGGGTGCAGGGGGGAGTTAATTTTATTAATAAAATAAGTCGCCCCGCTCGTTTGCTTGTCGCGATTTCTTCTGCAAATAGAAATTCTCCGGTGCGTTCTTAACGGTGCAGGATAAACTCGGGCGTTCGATTAAGCCCGGAGAATTTAATTGCTTTCCAGCTGTCTATTACAACGACAGTCTGTCGATCTGCCCATAAATACGGAGTATTTATCCGATGTATACGTGACGTCAAAATCCGACGGCAGAAATTCGATCGCGGCTTTAGCTTGGCGAAAATTTCCAAGGCGACATATCCAGATCGCGCGCACACAGAGATGACCAATATTGAAAGTTCACCGTTAAATATTCAACGCTCAAACATCGAGAGAAATGACAATGGAAATTAAATGTCAATTATCGGTTGTTTTGTTTCGCCGGTCGAGCAGTTCAAGTTCCTATTTGTACGCGATGAGAAACCTTAAATTTCAATGAACCCGAGGAACGACCACTACGTGACCGGGAGGGAGCTTCACCGAAGACTCGAGCACCGGAATATCTAAGCTGGAAATATCGCTCCGCACACACACAACGATACAACAGAAGAGAAGTTTCGCTCTCGGCGAAAGAGATTTTCCGCGCGAGGCGCATCGATCGAAAAATTTCGTCGGACTGGTCGCGATTAGAATCGGGCAAGATAAAAGTGAGACGTTCCGCGAACGTTGGGGGATAATTTCGTCGGGACTTCGCGGTCGCGTTTTATCCCGCGTTCCCGATATCGCCGTAGGCACGGCGAATAAATCGAACGAACAATTTTCAACGCTCGCACGATCGGAATGAATGAAGCGTTTAACGGTGCGGCGGCGCTTTCCCCCCCGCGCACGATGCATTTTCCCGGCCGAGCCATAACTCACGTAAGATTCGATCTGACGGTTAATTTCCGCGATGAAGATGGTGATATGCGGCGAATCACGGACATCTGCTCGGTTTTTCTACAAGTTTAATTGGATCCACGAGCGATCTAATCCGCCCGCCACATGCGCTCGTTCGCTCGCGAACGTGCGACTCCCATTTTTCTCTCGCGTCGTCGCGACCAGAATCTCTTTCACTCCTCCCTCCCCATCCTCACTCTCTCTCTCTCTCTCTCTCTCTCTGCTCTTTCTTCTCTTTCGGCTTCTCGCGAAAATTTGTCTTGCAAAAAAGTCGTACGTCGCTTGAGCGAGTAATTGGGTCAACTAATAAGCGATGCGCGGCTCAATTTTATCCTCGCCTCCTTGTTGGAACGCTCGAAGAAACTTTTTCGACGAATAACTTTCTTTCTTTGTACCTTGAGGCTCGCGTGAAACTCTCGATACAAAAGATGTTTCCGCTAATTAAAAGCAGGAAATTTGATTTGCCAGTTGTCCCGTCGCGTTACCTGAAAAATTCACGTCTTCGATTCGGAAAGTTCATCCTCCGTCTCTGCGTGAGCGAATGAGTTAAATTCGAAAAAACAGAAAACCCCTTTTATTTAAATATTTCCGTCGTAAACGTTGTAAATATACCGAGTATACTTTCTCCATATTTTACAGAGTGCTTATAGAGTGAATTACGTTTTTCTTTTTAATCTCTCGGGTCTCTCTCCAGCTCAAACAGAAGTGTTTCATCACCGAGGAGACACCTGACTGCAAAGAAGAAGCATGCACGCAGAATGTAGCGAAGCTCATTTCTTTTTCTCCCTTCCCCCCATCCCTCTCTCTCTCTCTCTCTCTCTCTCCCTCTCTCTCTCTGTCTCTCTCACTTTTCTCCAGCTACAACGCGGTAATCTTTTTCATTCTGTTAATTCGTGGCGCGACGGTGCTCGTAAAGGACAAAGAATCAGGGATCAGCTGGTTACTCGCGGGAGTATTTGGGTTAATTGAGAAGCCGCGGAAACAGCCCGTGCACAATGCGTCAGCGAGCGACACGTTTCTCACCGCCGCGCCGAGGCCACCAAAAACAACACTTCCGAATATCCGAATCAACATGTCTCGGCAAAGTTGCTCGTAACCGCGTTACCTCGGAACGACGACGACGACGACGACGACGACGACGACGACGACGGCGGCGGCGGAAGCGAATATTACAGCGCGCTCGTAATAATCCACTTCGACGACGGTGGTTCCTTCCTGTGGCGGTCCAAACGATATTAAGACGCGACTCGATTACGATTCTTATCATCCCGACAGGGGGGCCGTACCAACGAGAGGCATTCTACCGGGAAGAGGAGGAGGAGGAGGAGAGGGACGCATCGAGAACGCGTTTCTATCGACGATAATGCCGACCCTCGAAATCGCGCAACGGTCGTTTCTCGCGAAGACTCGCGATAACGCCGCTCGATTAGAGGGAAACCTTCGGCAAATCGCCGCGGCGGATCTTCCACGCGCGGCGCGAGGGCGGGGGTTGAATATTTAACGAGTCCTGTCGGAGATATTCTTAAGGATTCGAATGGAACTTTAAAGACTCTTTCTTCCTCTCCCGCTCTTTATCGACAGAATTTTTATCGAAAGAGAGAGGGGGGGGGAGAGAGAGGCGACAGAGCGACAGAGAAAGTGTCCGCGGGGCAATCGATTCGCCAATTGCAGCGAGATCTCCCGGCAGGAGATGCGTATAGCTTGTAAGAGAACCGCGCCGCACTTCGTCAAGTATAAAACGCCATAAAGGAATCCCTTTTTCTTTTCAGTGACGAAGCCAGCCAAGGTCACTCCGATGGAGGACACTCAGCCCAAGGAGGAGTCATCCCCGCTTGAAACCCTGAAATTGTAAGTTTCGAACCGCGACGGGAGTGTAACTTCGCTCGTAAAACAGTTCTGTCGGACTCACAAACATGCATGTATATATGCACGCACAAGAACATGTTTTGTGTTAGTATTTCCATTATCGCATAATCATCCCGTTCGCGTGATCGTTGTTTATTTAACGCCGGAACACGCGATACTTACTTTCCAGGTGTTGTATCACCGAAAGCAGCGCGCGCGAGCGCGATACGTTCCCCGCGGAGAACATCAATTTGCACGTAATTCGATTCTTCCTCGTTCGCGCAAATATTTGATATCTTCGTTTCCGCTTCATTCCGAGGTGATTAGTTATTCGAGTACGTGTTGTGCGTCATCAAGGGTATTACTGTATCGTCGAGCGCGCGTTGCGGGCGCTTTGAGAATTTTTTTGAGACGACACGTTATGGTCGATCATCGGCGGTTTATAGTGCGATGCCGCGTACGGAAATCAATAGATATAAATAAATGAAGGGAAAAGAGGAAAGGGAAAATACTCTACGCCGTAGGTGGTTCGCTCAGCCAAATTGTCTCATCGAGTGTCGAATGAGATATTTACGCAACGCGTGATCGGCTCCGGCCGCTTTCGCCAAGATATTCACCGCGGGGGATCGATACGGAACATCAACTTGATTGCGAGTACAGTTTGGAAAATGATGGGAACGGAAAAATCCGGCACCGGCCGGTATATCCTTGCCGGAATCGCGTAACACGAAAAACCGAGTATCGCGCTCTTTCACGCCAAGTTTCGCTGCCCCAAAGGGCATGCTGCCAAACTGCACTCTATTTCCATTCAAATTGGTACACCTGAAAGCAATTAATCCCCGGCAAAAGTCGTCCGCGGCGGCGGCGGCGAACAGAAATGTTGATCCCGCGCTTCTGTGAAAACTCGCATGGAAAATCCGAGCAAGGAACGATTGAAAAGTTCCAAAGAGGGAAAATATTTTTTTTAATTTGCCACTGTACGGACGCTCTTAGGACGGCGTTTCAGCTCGGAGTGCCGGCGGTTGTTGTCGGGAAACGCGCGCAACGAGAGGTATGTAGTATATCCGGGCTTTGTGAATAACGTAAAGTTAAAGTTTCGTAGGCGACGAGTGAATGACGAGAAAATAAACGTTAATATCGCGCGCGTTATGACATTAAATTGTATCGATACGCCATCGCTGAGATCGGCGGCGTCGATCTGCAATATTTCAGCATAATATGTGGAATTTTCTTGGTTAAAATTCGATCGAACGATTCGTTTCGACGTTCTCACGGCGAACGTTCAACTGGCCATTTCGACTAGCGCGGCGATCTATTCGAAAACGTTTCCGTCCGGATAATAGAGCTGTCGCGGACAATTCGCGAGCCGCGCGCTATCTTGCACCGAGCGAACGAAAATTTACTCGACGGGAACGCACCTACCGGGAACGTAACGGACGTTATCCGCGCGATAGACGCGGCCGGTGAAGTTCACCGTCAGTTTAAACGAGCATGAACGACCTCCATTTCTGTCGTCGAGAGCGGCTCGGCTCGGTCCGCGCGTTCGCCGACCGTGCGAAATTTAATACAGCTCGTCCATTAAGGGCTCGTGGATTGATTCGTTCTCGGTCAGCTAAGTAACCCGCGCCAAAGCAAATAACGAGAATACCGCTCGGCGGCGGACAGCCGAGCCATTGCACCGAATTTCACGGCCGGACGCCTGACGACGGCGCCTTCGCAGCGCGAAATAGCAAACACGCGACACAGCAAATACGTCTCCGCCGACGGAGAAATCGGTAATACGTGTGTATGTGTGTGTGTGTGTGTGAAAAGGATAATCGATAATTATGTCTTCGTGGATCATTGGACGTTACGTACTTCGGCGCATGATAAAATGTCGCTTTTCGCCTTCCCGATAACGCCGAGAAGAAAAAGGCGTACTGAAATATGTCGTGATAAAAAATTTGCTTCGATTCAACAACCCGACATTTCGATACGCGTATCCGTCATCATTGTCTCTCGCAATTGTTTCGTACTCGTAGAAGCATGCTCTGTTTACACTGCAACACACACAGATATCATTGCGTCACGTAGTATTGGGCTGGCAACTAAGTGATTGCGGATTTTGTCGACAGATGGATTTTACACTTTCTTTTGTTTCGTTAACGTGTTCAAAGTACCTAACCTATATTTTTTCTTATTGTTTGGACTTCTAGCTTTCATTTAGTACAAAAATTATATCGATTAGTTCTTTAGTTTTGTTTTTATCCCAATTTAAAAATGGAAGAGCAAGATGTGCACTTCAAACATATTTTATTGTATTATTTCCGAAAAGGCAAGAACGCATCGCAAGCACACAAGAAGTTATGTGCCGTATATGGGAATGAAGCCTTGAAAGAAAGGCAGTGTCAAAATTGATTTGCCAGATTTCGTTCTGGTGATTTTTCATTGAAACATGCGAATAACGATCTGGCCGTCCAGTTGAAGTCGATGAGACCCATATCAAGGCCGTTATCGATTCAGATCGTCATAGCACAACACGTGGATATTGCAGAGAAGCTCAATGTATCGCATACATGCATTGAAAAAAATTTTAAAAAGCAAATTAAAAATTTTGAATTTTCATTCTTATTTAAAATCCGCAATCACTTAGTTGCCAACCCAATACTTTGTGCGAGTGCTTGGAAGCCTGACGATCACGCTCGCGATCGGTCAATCGCCGGCGCTACAAACGAGACTCACCGAGTCCGGTGTTGCAGAAAGTCAGAAACGGTCGGCAAGATAAGCAGCGGGGACGACTGCAGAGTATGCCGGAAGTCCTTCGCCCCTGAGGAAGTCTCGCGAACTTGTTGCGAGTGTCTACACAAGGTCTGCGAGGACTGCGCCTCGTATTCAACGACAACGAATTCCGACGATCCGGTGAGTTTGCACGCCGCTGCCGCGCTCTAATTAACCGGCACCGTTCATTGTTCTACGCGCCGGTAAATATTGCCGTAAAACGAGATTGGACGGCGGCCGGGCGCGCGAAATTAATCGTCGGACCGGACGAGAGGAAAACACAGGCGAGAAGACGACCTGGGAGGAAGAGGAGGGAGGGAGGAGGAGGAGGAGAACGGAGGGCTGGCCGAATCGAACGTGAAAATCTAATTTCGCGGCTGGCGCCGTAATTAATCGCAGCAGTTTTATCGTCGCTGCTTCCCCTCAATGTTTACCTCTCGTTCGCGCCTTACGACTGAAATCGCCGCCCCACTCACCCCCCCCCCCCTCACCACATTTCGCATCATTAACTGTAAAGTCTCGGTGCGACTCGCGATCATTGTTTAATCTTTCTCCCGTTCCCGATGTAAATACGCCAAGATTTCCAATCTTCGCCGCGGTGATCTCGCGCGATCTTAGCGGCTCATAAAGTCGCCTTCTGAGCGCTCTATACACTTATGACAAAACGCAAACGATCACAGAAAAGTGACAGACGAGATGCCCGAGAATCGCCCGAGAACTCGATAATGCCGATCGACGTTGACTAAAATTCGTCTCACGCCGAAGCGAAGCGAAGACCAAGATCCGGCAAGCCGCATTCGGCGGGACTACGAATGCCAAAGGGAGAGTTAATTGCTGACAAATGGCGGCAAGAAATCCCCGGGGGGGCTCACGGTGACACGGAGCAGACGGAGCGGACGGACGAACACGAACGAGCGGACGAGCAGCGAAAGACTCCTAATAGAGACTCCGGGCTTAACGTCGGTCCGTGTAAATCACGATATCCACCTTCCGCTGCTCGCTAATTTTCACCCCGAGTGCCGTCGTTACGCCAAGAGGGCCTACCGCAGCCCGCCAACACGTGGCGCCCGTGCGAAATTACCGCGCCGAATTACCGGGATTCACTCGCCCCGGCCGTTCTTTTGCCGGAACCGCGGAAACAATTACATTCCTTCCGCGCGAGAGAACCGCCGCTTCTCTTCTCGTTAATAATTAAATCCAGGGGCAAAGAAAGCAATTAGTTGGCCGAAAGCTGGCGTTAAATTATCATAAACGCGCGGATCAGCCCGGCTCAGGCCGGAGCCGCCGCGCGAGAAGCGAATGGAAATTTATTCGCGGCCCGCCGCGACGCGACGCGGCTCGTCGCTTCTCGCTCCTCGCGCCGGCCGATATGACCGAATTAATCAGCCGACGCGGCGTTACTCCGGCGAATCCGCTGTCAGGGCTCCGTTACGCGGGCGAATCCTTCACTTGGAATCGGCCAGACGATGAATTCATCGACGCACGATCGGAAACGCAGGGACTGAGACGAACGGAGGCCGACGCGGACTCGGCGGAATTCTGCGCGACCATCTCGCTTAACTCCGCGGAAAAACGCGTTCTCCCGTATTTCACGCGACTTGTCGCCTTTCATTCGCCGCTTTTTGTTTCCGCGCCCGTTGAGAGCGAAAGAGACAGCGGGAGTAACGTTGTTACTCGCTTTATTTATAGACGGACCGAAATACCGCTCGGATAATTCGATTATGCAAATACACGAAATTTACGCAATATTCGGCACGACGAAACGTGTACATTTACGACAGCGAGGTGAAATTATAGCGATATTCACACATATCTCGGCGCAACGTTCGTCATGCACATCTAGACACACACACACACACACATACATACACACCGATGTCGGAGGAAGAATGACACATAATTTTCTATAAAAGCCGCACAAAATCCACACGACAGAGCGCGGGTGAAAAATGCGCTCGCGAATTATCGTGCTACGACGACGAGTGAGCCGCTCTCTCATCGCGCTATTAACCGATATACGAGCGTTTCATTCGATTCAATTAATTAATCACGTTCCCCGAGCGACTCGCCTCGCCCATCGCAATGTATCGAGAATACAATGGCCGCTTTGCATGCGTATATAGAGCGGCCACGCGAATTTGATTTATGCGCGGAGCGCATCTTGCGATTTAATCGGGCCTCGTCGATGTGTCAGTCTGAATTGCTAATTCGGGAAGCCATTATCTCTCAAGTCCTCCGTCGATGAATAGCCCGGCTGCGAGCCGGCATCAATCTGCATCGGAACGAGGAGGCATCGGGGGGGGGGGGGAAGGGGGGGACCAGCACGCGTTAACGTCGCCCTTCGTCGACGAGTGAAATTGTCTTTTTCCCGGTAACGTTGCAGTCTTCCTGGCGATGTAGCGTCTGCCGCCGAAAGATCGCTTCGAGGGACCAGCCGATCGTGACGCAGGAGTCCACGGATTCGCTGCTGGACGTGCCGATCCTCGAGGCTCTCCAAAGGAGGCACAGCGACGCGCGACTCGGCCCCACCGGGAGTCAAATCGGCGCGCTCGGAAGCGGACTAGCGCCGCCGCGGAGTCCGGAAATTCGCAGACATTCGGACGTCTCGCCGGCCAGTCTCAAGGAGCTCGAGAAGGTAAGCGTGGACGCACTACACGGCGATTTGTGCTTTCGCGTCACCTGCGCGACGTTCGCGTGGAATCCATCGCCATTGGCTATCGCGAACGAACTCGCGGCTATTTCTCGATACTATCGGCATGTCGTCGGAATTGTCAACTTCCTCGCCGAGTCGCGAATCGTCCTCTCGGCATTTCGGCGAGATCAGGATTGGATTGGATTCGTTCGTATTGTTTGCTCGAAAAGAGGGGAATTCTCCTTCTCCGCGCTAGAAGAGACAAAGTTGCGCGGATCTAAACGGAGTGAAGTGATATTCCAGCTCGCTCGATACGACGAAAATAATCTCTCCGCGCGCGGGCAGTTGAAATTCAAGTTGAATTTCAAGTTGAAATTCAAAGGACATGATAAACAATTCCGTGACTATCCGGGACGAGGGCCGCGCGCTTTGCGTGCGTGCGTGCGTGCGTGCGTGCGTGCGTGCGTGCGTGTGCGTTAGACGTCATACTGGCTTTCGATGTTACTCTCTCACGCGAGTCACCATCGCACGAGATCCCCTCCTTCCCCATCGAGATGCATAATTCAGTATCTTAAGAGATATCGTTTCACGTAAAAACGTCTCACGTGGCGGCGGCGACGCCACGTCAAATTAGCCGTGCGAGAGAGGTCAACGTGTCGTCACCACGCTTTGAGTGTCCGCTTCAACGCTTGAGCTACACGTCGCTGTTGTCTCAGATGCATTATACATACTCCACACTCGCGTGATTCTCGCACGCTGCTGCATTATGCAACAAAGCGCATTTCGCCCGCTCGCGAGACGGACGCCGAATTATTTCCTCCTGATTATGGCAACGTCGTCCTACGGCAGCGATACACGATTCACCGGCGGTTTAGTCGCCCTCGCGACGACGTTCCGAGACGTCGCTGATTATCGTCCTGCGACGCGATTTCACTCTTATCGCAGTCCCACACCTCGCGGGAGGATGAGATACTTCGCGTCGCGTAAAAGCCACGTGGAAGGGATCTCTCTGTTCGGAAGAGGCGTCTCTTTTTATTCCGTGTTCCTTCTCTCTCTCTCTCTCTCTCTCTTTCTCTCTCTCTCTCTCGCTCTCTCTCTTTTTCTTTCTTCCGGTACGTTCATCACGATACTTGGCAAATCAATAATTAAAGAGAAGCAAACGCGCAGCTGTGCCGCTTTAACCCTTTAACGCCTACTGGCTATACTAACTGTAGTTCGTCAGAAACGCATTTAAAAATCCATAACTTAGGAGATAAAAAAGGAGATATTTTCGTTTTCTTTGCACCTGCACTGTAAAGGTGAATTCTTCTTTTAAAAAATGGTATATGCAGATTGTATGTAGATTCGGTTTAGTCTATTTTTAGTTCAGTTTTAATGATAACATGTTTTGTCAAATTCCAAGTAGGCATAGTTAGCATTGTTACTGACATCTAGAAGTGCGCTATAAATGAATAGATTGGTATCTGTTATAATTTTATACATTTGGAAGCTTCCTCAGATGCAAAGTGTGAAATTAAAAGAATACAGAAATTCAAAATGGATCGAATCCAATATGGTGGACACGAAAATCAAGAAATCAACCTATTTTCGTGAAACCTGGTGACCTACAGTTTTTTATGCGGCGAAAAATGAAGGGACAATTGACTATCTAAATGGTGATCTATAAGATATTCTTCTGAAATAGTAAGCTTGACGCTCTGAATGATAAACTTCACTCACAAATATAGTAAAGTTTCAGCTCAAAAGCTGTCAAGCTGACTATCAGAGTTATGTCGTATAGATTACCCTTCATTTTTCTCCGTACAGGTTGCTCATTTCGTGTATGCTTTTAGGATCCAAGTCATATTTACCAATGAACAACGATAAAAACGAACGATAAAAGAAAACCAAACTAACGGAACCAACAAACGAAAAGCGGAAACTTCATGTGCTCATTTATTATATTCCATTCCGGGTAAATAAAGATCAAGTTCTGAATATGAGTTTTATGTTTCGAGGAATTTTTCCCACCATTAGGTGGGAAAATAAAATTATTAAAACTAAAAGAACAAAATTTGACCGATCGGGCGTATTTTTCGCTTCCGGGAGTAGTTTCTGCTTGGGAAGGTAGTTTCTCGTAGATATGAAATTCTGATATTTTTTTGGTTATCACTACTTATAGTCTCAGTTCAAGAAAACTCAAATTTCATTCTTAAAACACTTGTAAAAAAGTCAGGCGTTAAAGGGTTAAAGTCGCGTGGAGTTTTCCTTCGCGGCAACAACGGAGCGCACGTTTGACGGAACGGCTTGCGGCGTTATCGCGCGCTTCGCGACGCGCCCAGTGGCTTATTAATGACAGTGGCTTATTAGGACTTATTAATGATGCGCCGACGATAATTCACGGATGTCATAAATCGCCCGGACACGCTAATCGGCCGGCTGCTCGCGCGTTCTCGCTGCGCGCGCCTACGGCTCTAACGAGGTGCCGAGCGCGACGTTGATCTCGACTACTCGTCGATTATTGTGCGTAATCGCGTGCGTGCTCGCAGGCACGCACACACACGTTGCGCGTGTTGTACGCGCGACGAATGCGCGCCGACGACGGCGACGTGGCGCGTTGCATGTGTACCAGCTAGACTTCTCATTACTCTCAACACTCGAACGGACAATTATCGGACGTGTAATTACCGCGCGGTCGCGCGGCGATCGTAGGCGCACAGCACTCGGCCGAGTAGACGGAAGCGCATCGCAATAAAGGTGACTGCGCGTGCATTTCGCCACCTCGAGAGCCGTTTGTCACGTCATCGCTCGAATCGCGCGGATTGAAACGAACTTGGACGCAGCTCGACCGCAGCTCGTTTCCGGGCCAATCTGATTAGTTTCTCTCTTTTCTCCTCAGCGCGTGGCTGACGTCGCGCGAAAATGATGGGGGAGCGAGAAATGATTTTAAACTCGTGTCAAAAAGGAGAGAAGGAGATTGCGTATCGCGAAATATTTCCTAGCTCTGTATCGCGTAATTCACATTCTGCGGAAATATGGATCCCAAAGGGTTCTCTCTCTTTCTCCGAGAAATTCCCATTTTCCGAAAAGCTCGGACGGCTCGGGGACATTATTTCTATCCCTGGAAATAATAAGTTCATCACGGTGGTGGTGGTGGTAGTCCTGTATATATTTTAACGCTTTCCCGCAGTCTCGTCGAAAATCGCGCGTTATTATCGCTAGTCTGTCCAAATCTCCGCACGCGATTCCTCATCGCGACGTGTTCTCCCATTCTGCGCGACGCAATCCGTTCATTCGCGCTCAGGATCTGACATTTACGCGAGTCAATGTCCTTGAGTTTATCGAGTCTCGCGTATCGACCGACTCGCGCCACTGAGACTGGCGAGACTGGCAGGCTCACATTGTTGCGAGCCGACAGCTTGAAGGCCCGGTAGACGCCTCACCCCGTGAGAATTTATCGACAAGTGGTTTTTGTCGCTCGGCAGAGTAATCGAGCGAACGATGGAGCGGAAACGACTGCGGAAACGGAAGAGACTGGAACGAAATTGAAATGAGGGAGGGAGCGAGTCGCGCGCGCGCGCTCGCGGAGGCGAGAGAGAACGCAGGCGATCGAGTCGCTAAAATCTCTGCGCTTAGGTGGAAAAATTATGACAAGCGGAGAAATTACGATAGGAGGAAAAATTACGGCTTTCGACCGACCGATTCGCGCTTCCAAGCTCTTCGCCTCGCCTCCCTTACTTTTTTAATTTACCAAATCCGTCCGGTTGCAGTGTGCGCCGTGTCGTTTCGTTCCCGTCGCCCGCGGCCACCAATGAATGGGAGAGAGACCGCGAGAGTGTCAATGAGCATATTTCTGTCGAATTGTTCTGTCTTTCTCTCTCTCTCTCTCTCCCCCTCTTTCCCGTTATTTTTCCGGCGTCTACGAGAATTCCGTGTCACTTGATTTCTTTTGACGTACAACGCGTGCCGATTTCATCATTCATTCGCGAGTTTGACGCCCGAGCAGCAAGGCAAGCATCCCCAGAGGGGGCGGATTCAGGGCGCGGAGCGCAGGGCGGAGGTCGTAAATCCGTTTTGTCCGATTTTCGCCTCGACGTGATGAAATACGTCCAACGAACATTTACGCAGGCACTCTTAGGCGTAGGCGTACGTAAACCCGACGGGGGTATTTACGAGGGCGTATTTACGAGGGTGGACTCTAATTCCGGAGTTTATTGGTGGCAGCCGCTCGCGAGAACGCGACGCGGACGCGTTTTTATCTTCCTCGCCGTAATTGTCGCCGGCGTTTTGTCCATCTCGAGATGGACAATCCACTTCGCGCGCGCGCGCACGTCACAGCTTTCGCGTCGGTTCCGCGCAGCTTGTGTGCCACTAAATACGGTCTGATGGATGGAACGACGAAAGGACGATGCTACGGCACGGGGCAAAATCACGGCGAATGCAATCGCGACGTTTGACGGATGACGGCGCGGCGTGCGATGGCAATTACGTGCGAGGCACAAACGCGAGGCGCCGAACTACGATCGTAGCGATTAAAATCCGCTCGCTGGCGGTGTGTCAATCGGATTATCGCGCAAATACCACGTCTCGGAGTCGCGCGTGTGATTCTGCCATTAACTTCTCATCAAAAGGATCATATGTCTCTCGCAACAGCCTCCTCTCTCAACTCGGGAGTTCGCCGCCTGCTCGAGCGATCCTCAAGAACCGCGGAACACACGCGTTTGCTCTCTTTCTCCGGGGCTCTCGGTTGGCTCTCGTTTAATTACGTTTCGACTACTTGCGACGCGCGGCGCGTCCGAAGTGCGCGCAGCCGTCGTACATTTATCGGCGTCTCACGCGACGCTGTAAGTGCAGCAGATACATTTGCGACCGGATTAAACTTGCATTTGGCGCTTACGTTACGCTCGCGAGGCGCCCTACATTGCGCTACCGGCATCGGCTCTCCCCCTCCCTTCTCTCTCTCTCTCTCTCTCTCAGCTGTACGTGCACTTAGACGTGCTGGCTAGACACCTATTGGATAATTTACCACCGGCTGAGCGATAATTCACTACCACCACCGCCGCCGCCGCCGCCACCATCACCGCTCGAGTGATGCGCGGCATGGTGGTGCATCCCCGCTGTCCGATGCATCCTCGCGGCGTGAAGTTCGGAAATCGCCGGCTCGACGCGGCGACCCAGTTCCCTCAAATAGACTTGGCGATGACAAAGTACGACGGGGCGTTGTAACATCGTTTCGCCGGAAGGACATTATCGCGACATACCGGGGGTGTCTTTGCGCGCTCGTCGGCGCCGTCGCGTCGGCGGCGGTGTTAAAACGTTCGTGCGCTGCATCGCCGTGAATATTTGCGCGCGCGCACGCGACAGGTGCTCGAAAGTGGCTTTTGCGTTCTGCTACACCGTCACCCTTCGGCTGCAGAGCCAGCGACGATTTGTGGCGGACGAGAACGAGACGCGCGGCATCGCGCCGACCGCGGCTCATAATCTCGCGCGCTTCTGCGACTTCGAGCCTTACTCGCCGCGCATTAATCCTTACGAACGCTCCTCTTCGGGGACTGTTTTAGCGACCTGTTTCAGCCGCCATGTTTTTCAATCAAATTTATTCCTAGCGTATAAAATCTATTCTCCCGTTTTAAATTTGCGCGCTTTGTGCATTGCCGCCATCTACGACGAATTTCACGTGCGTATAAATGTTTCACGGGAAATTCCCTTCTCTCTCTCTCTCTCTCTCTCTCTCTCTCTCTCTTTCTTTCTCTGTCAGGCTTCCAAGAGAACGAGAACTTGCAGTGCGCGGCGACTGGGAGGGGAGTTAACGCGTAACATATCGATATCGAAATAACGAGAGGACGCGAATTCAGCTACGCTGGATTGGAACGTGGACTGGCTGGTGAGCAAATCCGGAAATAGCTCGCGCCACGAAGGGCTAACGCTCGTCTTAACGCCGCAAGCATCTCGTACGTGGCCGACACGAGAGAAATACACAGAGCGCCCACGCTCCTCTTCCGACCGACTTTAATTGCTGCCGATGTGTAATTATGCCGCTCACCGCGCCGGTGAGATCGCGTGACGAAGCTTGGACGAAGTTAATTTTCGGACGCGGCCATTTCATTATTATCGCAAGCTCCGGGTGGTTCTCGTGGCGACCGGCCCGCCTCCTTGTTAGCCGCAAGCATGCCGGAGACGCTATTAATTTTCGCCATCGGAGCGGTTTACCAACGTTTGCCAACTCTCTCTCTCTCTCTCTCTCTCTCTCTCTCTCTCTCTCTCTCTCCCCCTTCTCCTCTTCCTCTCCCTCTCTCTTCCTCTCACTCTCTCGAACACGGCGAAATATCTTTGTCGCAGTGTGCAGGTGGGCGACAGCTTTTTGTTTAAACCATGCAAAACGGATTCACGTCATACCGATGCAATCAATCGTTTTGTTCACCGAGGAAGGAGCTTGTCATTTGTTCGAGCGGTAATCGATTCGCGGGAAAAGCCGAAGCTCGGCATCAGGTGACGTTTTGTTTCCGAATTTACCGCGCGTTCTTTTGCCTGACGATCTAAGAAAGTCGCTCGCGTTAAGTCTCGTGAGAGAAAATTTAACGGGATTAATTTCCTTCCGAACCGAAGACGAATATAAACACAGCTGAAACTGACAGGTACACGCACTCTATTCGAGACAAATTCGAGGGGTCCGCCGCCCAAATACCCATATCAGCCAGTAATCGCCTGGATAGTTCGCGGTTCCACGGAATACCTCTCTTAATACCTATAGAACTATTCAACGTAACCATTCATTCAGTCGCGATTCCCTAATTGCTGCCAACAATGAGCTATACGAATGAGCTTCGCGCGGGTATAATAGTATCCGGTAGCTCGCGGCGAGTCTGACTCTCCCTGGTGACTCAATAGCTTCGTTCTCGTCCGAGTGAAATCGAGTTCAAGCGGAACCGGCCTGATGCAGCACGCGCGCGCGGCCAGCTACATTCGATCATCCGAACGACCACAGGAATTCACGAGCTCTCGCAAGCTGATAACTGTGCGTTGATCTAATCGTCAGCTTTTAGGTGTCAGTCTGTGGCTGCATAATCGTACTTGCACCCCCTGTCGTGCCGGGGCCCTGCCCTTACTCACGGCCTACATGTGGTGACGTCTCCCGCATCGTTCCCTAATCTATGTATCGTAATGTTGTAGTTTCGAAAGGTTGCAGGGGAGCGCCGCGAGGAGCTCAGATGGGAACGCGACCTGGACCGGAAGAGCAAGTCGAGGGGTGGCTCGCCCGACCGTCATCAGGCTGACAGAGGCAGAGCGACCAGTCCCCAAAGGATGTGCATCATACCGGCGCAGGCGGGTGGTGAGGATCATTAAGAAAACAGAAAGCTATGAGGTTGCAGAGCGATCGTGTGTTCACAATGTTCACAAGGCGATAAAGACCTCCGCCTCGAAATCAAGCTCAAGACATATGGAAGTCAACGGTCGATTTTTTGATATTTCTAAAATATCCCATCGCGACTCTGGAAGACATGTAGACGTCGACGATCTATAGTTGTTATTCAGCTTATATCAGACTCGGGTCAAATCGATATATCATTCGACTTGAATGTGATACTGACTTATTAATAATCAGCCGGCGGCATCTATACGACATCTTCTAGATATCAAATTGTATAAATCGCGACTGTACATCGCGAAAATGTTACGCGCAGTTGACGCAGCGTCGATGCAGCGTCGACGTCAGCAAAGAATCTAGTCTAGTCAGATGGGACGATCCGAAAGATCCGAAAGATCGTCGACTTGACGCGAAAGGCCATCGATCGTTCAGCGAAGTAAAGTGCTTAAAAACGCGTAGCCGCAACATCCGTCGCTTTGCCCGTCGCGATCGAGCCCGTCGTAACGTCTTCCGACTGGCGACTGTTAAAGGGATGGAGCAGGAGTGCGGCGACCTGGACGACGAGGAGGAACGTCGACGTCGCGCTCGTCGCGGTGGCGGCACGATCCGCCGTAAATCGCACATGACCAGGCAGAGGTCCTACGACGACGAGATCAAAACCGCGGCCGCGATGACCGGCGGCGGCGTGCAGCCCGCGCATCCCGACATCGGCCTAGGTCTTCCGGTTCAGCTGCCGAGACGAGCGTCCGCTTACGACGTTTACGCCACGCCCGGGAGCAGCGGCCTCAACGCGATGGCCATCGCCGCCGCCCAGCAGAGAGCATCGATCTCGGCGCAAGGTGCGTTCGGCAGACTCGTCGCGGTAGACGAGAGGGAATTTCGAGCTGATCGAGAGATCGCCTCTCTTTCTCTTTTCACGATGCGTGTGCTTTCTGTTCTTTCCTCAAGTACGTGGTGAATTTGCCGAACGGAAGATACAATGTAGGAAACACGTTATCTTTAGGCGTACGTCTCTGCGAGGCGGTGTACCTCTCTCTTTTTCTGCGGTTGTTACTTCGGCTAACAAGCTCGGTAAGCTCGGTAAGCTCGTATATCTCGTGACGACACCTGAACACTCTGAACAGGCGGAGTAAAGAGCGAAAGAATAGCGAAGATGGCGCGATTTCGGTATGTACCGGTATGCGAGGCACGTCGCACGCTCGCGTTAGGGTTAACGCGATTCCCCCTATCCGTCGCGCGCTTTTACTTCATTTCTGAAATATCGCGGCTGTTTTGCATGACTTCATCCCAGCAGAGAGGTTCCGCCGAAACAGCAGAAGCCGTTTACCGATAGCGATGCACTCTAACGGGCGCAGTATATCTCGCGCGCATAACACCACTTCCTCGCATATTCTCCCGCAGAACGGCATCTTCCGCCTCTCTCTCCGACTAAGCCCCGGGAGAGAACTTCTGCTACCTTCGATCCTCGCGGCCGCCGAGGCAGCCGAAATTCTCAATTCCCTTCGCCCCCTTCGCCCCCTTCGCGCTTTCCCAACAATAACGCTCGAAGCCGATGGTCCGATTTCTCCGCGTGTTGCGCGCGCGTTCGCGCGAGTTCTCACGAGTGGCATCCACAAACGGCAAAGGCGAGTCTCGAAGGAAGGAAGGGCACGTGCACTGCTCGGTAGAGCTCGGAGGCCCTAAGGGCAGTCTCTGGCCTAAAAGCTACCGACCAGGATAATCGAATAGACCTTGTCGAGCGAGCAACAGCTCCACCCCCGCGCGTCGTCTCACCCCGTTGCGTGCTCCGAAGCTGCCTGCTTCAACCCCGGTTTATACACGATTCTCTCCATTATGTGGATGCGCCGGTCCGACGTTTCCATCAAAGGCGAGAGCGACCTCGAAGAAATGAGTAAGCCGATTTTCGCTAAGCGTATTTCGGCCATCGCGCGTCCCTCACCGCGACTCGTCATACGCTTTTACGTCGTTGTTGATGCCCGCGCGTCATTGATGTTTCAAAATTCAATGCTTTTCCTGGACACTTCTCGGATAGAGAAGAGAAAGGGGGGAGGGAGGGAGAAGGTGAAAGAGGGAGAGAGAGAGAGAGAGAGAGAGATAATCGAAAGATGCGCGTGTACGCGAGCGAGATCTTTTGTGCGTTTGAATTTTCGATCGAAAGCTCTCGACTAAAAATGTTTCGCTCTAATCGACGTCCGTGACGACGCTCGTCGAGGATATCGTCAAATGTCTCGCCGCAGGTAAACGCGTGAGCGCGTTTAAATGCCGGGCGCGTAACTTTGGGTTGGCAACTAAGTGATTGCGGATTTTGTCGACAGATGGATTTTACACTTTCTTTTGTTTCGTTAACGTGTTCAAAGTACCTAACCTAACCTATATTTTTTTCTTATTGTTTGGACTTCTACCTTTCATTTAGTACAAAAATTATATCGATTAGTTCTTTAGTTCTTTTGTTTTTATCCCAATTTAAAAATGGAAGAGCAAGACGTGCACTTGAGACAGATATTTTATTGTATTATTTCCGAAAAGGCAAGAACGCATCGCAAGCACACAAGAAGCTATGTGCCGTATATGGGAATGAAGCCTTGAAAGAAAGGCAGTGTCAAAATTGGTTTGCCAGATTTCGTTCTGGTGATTTTTCATTGAAAAATGCGAATAACGATCTGGCCGTCCAGTTGAAGTCGATGAGACCCATATCAAGGCCGTTATCGATTCAGATCGTCATAGCACAACACGTGATATTGCAGAGAAGCTCAATGTATCGCATACATGCATTGAAAAAAATTTTAAAAAGCAAATTAAAAATTTTGAATTTTCATTCTTATTTAAAATCCGCAATCACTTAGTTGCCAACCCAGTAGTTTCAGAATTCCCATTTTCGTGTGTTCAGTTCAATCGCGTGTCTGCCGTGTGTGTGTGTGTGTGTGTGTGTGCGCGTATCACGAATCCCGAGATCTGCTTCTATGACACTCTGTGTAACTTTAATATATTATTGCGCCGGTCTGCGCGATCGAAAGCGCCAAACAAGCTCGACATGGGAATTCGGCTTTTCTCTCTCTTCGTTCGGCCACAACCTCTCTCTCTCTCACTCTCTCCCACACGGAGAGAACTTGCAACGTACTTCCTGTAGAAACTATTTCCGACACGTCGCGGAGAAGCGTAATATGGTTTTAAAGCCACCGCGCGAAGCGCGCATGCAGGCGTTGTTCGAGCTTCCGAGTGCTTTTCGCCGCGTTTTATGGCTTTATTTCGATGCTCGATGTGACCGCGCTGTTGCGCAGGAACCGATCTCGCGCGCTACCTCGCGAGAGAAAATAAAGGAAGAGAAAATAAAGGCAAATCTTGATTGAGGCCCTCGCCGATACCTGCGCCCGATAAGAGCATTTCGTGCGAATTGCGAGGTCGCGTAAGAATTTCCCGTTTGAGAGGGTAGCTCGCGAAGAAACGTACTGCCGGTCCAGGTTGAAAGCGCACGTGTTGGTACATGAGGTGTTCTAAACACGATCTCGATCTCCTCTCTCGAATGAACAACGTTCGAGCGAGAACGCTCCGCTAGACGCTGAGACATCGTGTCTCACCTTCCCCTTCTTGATATTAAATGTCTCGAGATTTTAATTAAAATGTTGTAATGAAAACGTTTCGAAGATTAATCTTGGAAAAGAGGAGGAATAAAAGATGAGATTATAAAGATACCTATGCGGCGCGGCGTACCGAGTCTATAGATCGTCAAACAATTCTACGACTCCCCGATCTATTGTAACTCGAATATTTTCTGGACTCTCGTATTCACAGTCGCGCGAAAATCTATCCCGACACCCTGTTTGTGTCGCGACCTATGCTGTTTCTCCGTACTGTGGAGGCAAGAGCTGAATAACATTGCTTCCTGCATTACAGAGGGAAACAACATTGACACTCGACGGGGCATTGTACTTCGGTGCAGGAACGCCGCCGACTATTTTATTTCTTTCGAATATATTTAACCCTCTCTCAGGTCTTTGTTGTCGAATAAATGATATTTCGATACTTTGATATAGATTCGACCTTATTGTATATTTTCTGTGTGCCATTGTCATGTCGGTAAAGGTAAAGGGAAGTACGAGAATAAATGCGAGATATTAATGTATCACAATATATACGGTGCGTTAATAAAATGGATATCTCTTTTGAAATAATAACGCGTGTTTTCCGATTATATGTTTTTCGATGATCCGACGGCGGAGTTTTTACGAGAAACATTTCACCAGCAAGAATAAACAAGTCGTCGAGTCATTTCATTCATAAAACTTCAGTTGTCTCAATTTTCCTCTCGATTTCGATTTACCTCGACTTTGACGTATATTCTCCTTTTCCAAGTTAAGATCGCGGGACGGAAACGCGCGAGAAACCCTTCGATTTCCAGTCACGCCGATAAACCCAAGACCCTCGTCGTCGAAGAGCGATTTATCAGCGTCCGTGATATTCTTTTAACTACTCCACTTCCATTAATTTCGACGGCGGGGTCATTACTCGAGACGATCTAATCGCTCATAACGGGTCGCATTAAATATTTCACGATAATATAATTGGCCTGAAAACGTCGACGATCGTGTGCTTCGCAGGCGTCCGAGAGCCTGAAGAGCGGCACCAAGCGCGCAGGTCGTCCTTTCGCGCGGTGAAGCCCTACGAGATCGTGGCGGATGAAGAGAAAATGATTAAGCTGGACTCGTCACCCGTAGCCGTGGCACCAGCTGTGATTCAACCTCTGGTACCTGACGAGGAGAGGCGCACTCGACGAAGAGGCTCCCAATTGTAAGTTATCGTCGGTCTGCACCCCCTCCCCCTCCTCTCCATTATCTCCCGAGACTCTACCACTACGCGAATATGTGCACCCGTCGCGCATAATAATAATGGAAGCAAGACAGAGAACAGATCTGGAGGACAGATCAGCCTTAGCTCGAAGCGCGCTATCAAGCCACGTTGTGGGAATTCGTGTTCCGATTTAGGATTTCCGCGCGCACTGCATCTGCGTTAACGCCGCAGACGGTTTCTTCGTTCATAATTCTATCTCGAAAGTTCCACGTTGCCCTCTCTTTTTAATCAGCGAGTAATAATAATCGATAATAATTTGTTGATGATGTCCCGGCAATATTACGTATGTACTCAAACTGATTGTGAGACAAATTGATTACAGCGTGCATGCAGTCGCACGCAGATCTAACTCGGCGGAAGCACGTTTCGTATGCTTATTTCTCGGCTAACTCCCGCGATGAAAATGACGCGCGCCAATGTCGTCGACTTGAATTTTGTATTTTAACTTCGAGCCCGTAGCTCCCTGTAGCTCTAGATATTTATCCGTCCTCCGTCCAACGTTCGTCCGGCTTGCCATGACGCCTGGAGTTTTGACACCGAGATAGACACTTCACTCCCTCGCTTTCACGGAGTAATTTAAACTTTCACACTTGTGTTTGAGCAGGGTGTATCCTTGCCCTCTTTCGCTCGGGGAAATTAAGTATGTCTTGTTTAACGGACGGAAATAGGTAATTACTTGGCGCAGGCACCTCACAGAGGTGATTCAACTTGGCCTGCGCGCACTCTCGATCGGACAATCGGTAGATGCGATTTTCCTCGTGGAACGTAAATTTGATATCGCGAATTAATCGCAGCGAGACCCGCGCGCGGAGGATTGACTTTTCAGCGAACAAAGCCGCTCGTATTATCTCGAAAAGTGTATTTGCTTCTGACACGTTTCCGACGGACGACGTGCTCGAGGTTTTTACCGATAACAAGCCGCATGGCTTGTTATATCAATTTTATCTCGAGAGAAACAAGTTGAAATATTCAATTCAGGCGAGAAGTCTTGAGAATCGCAGCCGTGTGCAATCTAAATATCTCTCCTCGTCGCGCCGTTCTTGCATGTTGATCTTGCATTTCGACGCTTCCCGACGTGAGGTGTAAATAAATAAATCTCGACATAGCAATATATCGATCGTGAGGAAACACGATGAGTTTAAATCTCGAGGATATCGTTCAACGTGGGGAAGTGATCCATTTTTTTTTAACAGAAACCACGTGGTAATCCTTTAGATCTCGTTAAAACTCGACGATTTTTTCCCGGCGTCAGTAAACCACTCACGACGATTCTCTCTCGATTCAAGGCGCTTCTCCAGATTACGATCTTATCGGTAATTTATAGAGAAAGAGAAAAGAGGGAAAAGAGACGAGAAAAAGGGCGAATTTACATAATACTAAATTCAGCTGGAAACAACGTCGGCGTAAGCGGTCCCGAATTTCTATTTTCGCACGCGTCTCGATTCTGCGATCATAGATCGGACCTTTTCGCAACTATCGACACGAGAAAAATGAGAATTGATCTCCTCTCGTCCTCTCGTGATCCTCCCCCGCCGACGCAGTCGCGCGCGTCACGATTTCCCCCCTCGCCCCTTTGCTACCGGCATTCCGACGCGCACACCGCCCTGTATGTTTGCAAGAAGCGCATATACGCGTGTTACGAGCGAAAAGTCAAGTGAATCGCAAATAAGAGGTTGCTACTGGCGAAATAATTAATATCATCCCACAGGTCCCTCCTGGCCCCCCTCTGCTGTCCTCGTGTACTGTACGCGTGTTTAAGCGGTGTGCACGAACGCGGTCGTTTTCGCCAAAGTCGAGTTCGGAACTGTTACAATTTCGACGAGCTTAATTTCCCATGCTACAGTAGCTGCTCGAAAATACGCTAACGCTAACGCTTGCGATATTAACTGCTCGAGGAACGAGGAACGTCCGCGGCGTCTGTATTATACGCGGCGCTTAAAATGGATAACACGACGGCAGCGGACAAATTCGAAGCGTATTCAGCGCGACGACAGTTATTCCACCGCGGCATCCGTCTTTCGCACGCTTGAATTAAAATCATCCCGGTTCGCTCTCTTCTATTTTCCTTTCTTTTTTTCATTCCTCTGTCGTTTGTGCGTTCCGCTCGAAGGCACAACGCGTCGTCAAAGGGAAGAGCGTGGTGCACATGCGCCGTTAATATTAAAGCGAATAGTAAGCTCGCTTTAAAACAAGCACTTCGACATCGCGAGATCTCGTCTCTCATCTTTCGATTTCGTGTTTTCTAAGGCGCCACGGCGCGCCCGGTCGCGCCTCTCGTAATCCTATTATGGCGTGATTTTTTTCTCCTTTCTTTGCGTATAAGTCGCCGCCTCGGGACCTCGGACACGTTTGAAAGCCCGCGGTAAAGATCTACCTACATTCTTTGACCCTTCGCTCGCACACACGTGCTTCGCGCGCAAGGGTCGAAGGTCCGACACATCGAGGGCAGAAAAGTGTCATCCTTCCGACAGGTTGTTACGCTGGCGGAAAAAGGACCGGGATATCTGGCGAAAGGGTCGCGTCAGGTAATATATCGCCCTTGTCAAAATTGGCTTAACCCCAGGATCCCGCCTCGCCGGCGTCTTCGTCCTTCTTCCGATCGAGCGGAGAAGCTCGGGGAAGACGGTCGTCGACATCAGTCAACGTTATGAATCATCTGGCTCGTGTAATCGCTATTATCTCGCACCATTCGGGTCAGGTGCCATTGAGAACTCCCGAAGTTATCGTTGTGCCTCGATTTTTCCTGGCGCGAGTGTCAGTTCGATATATTCTCCGACTGCTTCGAGGGGACATTTAAGATCGCGGGAGAACGAGACGAATCGCGCGATGATTAAGAAAAAGTCACGGGGGGAAGTCACGTGAGAAAAATTACCAGCGATTTGCCCGCCATTTTTCGCCGGGAATAATGGAGCTGGAACAGAGGCAATCGCATCGGCGACGCGATTTGGAATGTTCCGCAGAGTAGACGTCCGCGAACTGAATAGATTATGATACGTCATTGTTTTAATCACCGCGATTCATCAGCGAAGCCGCCGAAAAAATTACTCCCCTTACGATCCGGACGTTACGTTCCTCATCTCGATGCGATCGCAGTTACTCAGCGTTATTTGCCCAACGCACAGTTTCGCATCGCCAAATCCAAGAGAAATGCGTCAAACGTGACTCTCGTAAGTTAATTTCGCAAACGAAGCGCGCGCGCACACACGTCGAAGCACTTCAAAACTATCGGCGACTCGTTCCCGTCGTTCGCGCTTTCCGCGTTTCGGGCTCGTTCGCGCTTTCGGGAAGGATCGTCGATTATCCATAACGTCGAGCCGTAAATCTCTCTTAAAGCGGCACTATTCGTCGACCTCAATCTCCTCGATGCCTCTCCGCGGATCTCTAAATCGGGAGACACGGGAACGGCCGTTAGAATTAAAGAACCGCGGGATTTTCTCTTCCGGCTCACGTTGGCTTAAGGCTCGTCTACATTAGCTGTAAGAGTAAGGCTGTAAGGTTGCGAGACAAGAAATGAAATATTTTCATTCGCTGACAGCTTACGTTACAGCCTTACAGCCTTTCTCTTACAGCTATTGTAGACGAGCCTTTAGATCGACGGAACACATCGAGCGCTGCCGAGCGCGACGGAAGCGCACTTGCGCTTTAATGCGACCTTGCCGTCGCTGCACCACGTCGAAATTCGCTCGTGCCTCGAATACCAGCACGGCGGCCGTGCGCCGCGCCAACCGCGATCTGGAGTATCGCCATCTTGGTATACCGCCGGAAATCAGGGTAAATCGTCCCGGCAATTCCACCGAATATCATGCGCGCGTGCGAGCGAGCGAACGCTGGCTAGCATATTTTCCGCTGCCGATGAATTTTGCAAACTATGTCTGGCGAGCTCCTCTCTATCCGCTCCATTTTACGGCAAAGGCAGCCCCGCCTCTTTCGCGCGCGATCAACATTTCTAACGTAATAAGGAGTAACGTAATCATTCGGCTATTAAGTTTTCTCGAGGAAGACTCAATCCCCGAGAGAGGAAGAGAGCGAACGTCTTAGAAGAAGACACTCTTTTTTGTCTTTTATCGTAACGGCGATATGAACAATCTGAGCGAATAAGAATATCCACGCCCACTCCGGGAGAAAGCGATAGCTTACGTCGTACTTTCTTCCCATTCTCGAGGATAGCCGGGGAACAGTCACGGCGAATTAGGAATTTTAATTCTGCGGCTTATACTCCGCGACCCGGTCGCGCGATTGTTATCTACCGCGGCTTCGGCCGCGATGTAAATTTTTTAATTCCGCAACTTCTCAACTGCCCCGCTTACTATTTGCGAAACGACGATTTAACGCAATTACCGCGCTTCTTTAATCCGCCTTCTCGGCCGCGTGCACCCCGCGCGATCTCGGATTTTCGCAGTAACTAAACCAAACTAAACACGCGGGCGCGCGAGCTCGCGATTTATCGCAGTTGCGGGATTATCTTTAATCCTGCATAGTTCGCCGGGTGCAAACTTACGCGGTTCGTTTATGCAAGAAGAAACGCGCTCGACGTGCGCACAATTCATCCCCTCGCGCTTCTCGCCGAGTGCTTTCGCGAGTTGTGAAGGCGATTTCATGGAGATCGAAAGCTGAGCTGATAAATCCTACTTGCTCTTATTGGAGCTCTTATTGGAGCAATGACGGAGCATTTGAGACTTTCGCGCGCGCGAGCAAATGTTCCCTCCTCTCTCTCTCTCTCTCTCTCTCTCTCTCTCTCTCTCTCTCTCGTCACTCAAGCGGGGGAACGCCACGAAGCTCGGCGAGGAAATAACGCTAAACGCGCGAATAAAACGGTACTCGATCTGCCCGCGGGGATCTCGTCGAGGATGTGCTAATCGATATTGCCGCGCAGCTCATTCTTATTCAGCGAAACGGCAGGAAGAGCTTTTATTCCGCCGGAGTTCGTGATGGCACTGCGC